GCCCCTGGAGACCCTGAAGAGGTAGGACATGGGTCCCGTGTGTTTTTAACATGATCCCCACCGAGAGCTACCGGCACATGGGCACCTCCCACTCTGCCTTCCGCTTGGCTTGTGCCTATCGGTTCTTGGGAGTGCTGCTTCCTCTTTGTTTCTGGATGCATCTTTTCATGCTTTTGACAATTTAAAAAAAAAAAAAAAAATATATATATATATATATATATATATATATATATATATATATATATATATATATATATATATATATATAGTTTTTATGCCCTAACCGGTGTGGCTCAGTGGATAGAGCGTCAGCCTGCGGACTGAAGGGTCCCAGGTTCGATTCTGGTCAAGGGCATGGACCCTGGTTGCGGGCACATCCCCAGTAGGAGGTGTGCAGGAGGCAGCTGGTCGATGTTTCTTTCTCATTGATATTTCTAGCTGTCTATCCCTCTCCCTTCCTCTCTGTAAAACTCAATGAAATGTATTTAAATAAATAAATAAATAAATATATATATATATATATATATATATATATATATATATATATATGTATATGTTTTTATTGATTTTAGAGAGAGAGGAAAGGAGAGGGAGGGAGAAGGAGAGAGAAACATTAATGAGAAAGAGAAACCGCTATGGCCAGCCTGGGGTGAAAGCTTGAATCCTATGAAAAGCCCTTAGGTTATTATTTTTTCTTTTTTTAATCCTCACCCAAGGACCTTTTTCCATTGATTTTTTTAGACAGAGTGGAAGAGAGAGGGAAAGTCAGAGAGACTTACTGATGCGAGAGAAACACATCGATTGGTTGCCTCCTGCATGAGCCCTGATCAGGGCCCCGGTGGGCTGGGGGAGGAGCCTGCAACCAAGGTACATGCCCTTGACGGGAATCAAACTCGGGACCCTTCGGTCCACAGGCTGATGCTCTATCCACTGAGCCACATCAGCCAGGGCCGAAGCACTTAGGTTATTAATGCTTTTTGGCTCCTGAGGAGGAATTTGGGCTTCTTTCAGCTACCGCCTGTGTAATCCTTCGGAGCAGCCGATCTACAAGTCGTCCCCGCTGTTTGGGATGTATTATTCGGTGGAAAAAATTGGAAGCTTGAAAGTGGGCGACCCCGTGTACAAGATGGTGAGTGACGTGGGGAAAGGGCCAGCTGTGCTGTGGAAGGCGGGGCCTTGAATTCTCAGCCACGCTTTCTCACGTTCAGATGTTTCTACGTTTTGTGGGAAGAGTGAGCAGCTTGCATTCTGACCTGTGGGGATGGAAATGCCCTTTATTTATTTTTAAAATATATTTTATCGATGTTTTACAGAGAGGAAGAGAGAGGGTTAGAGAGCTAGAAACGTCGATGAGAGAGAAACACCATCCAGCTGCCTCTTGCACACCCCCTCCCGGGGATGTGCTCGCAACCAAGATACATGCCCTTGGCCGGAATCGAACCTGGGACCTTTCAGTCCACAGACCGACGCTCTATCCACTGAGCTACACCGGTTTCAGCAAAATGCCCTTTATTTTTAATGCCCTCAGTCATCTGTATTCCCCCACCCAGATTGCCCATCCCACTCTCCAGGCCATATAGGGGGCTGATGCTGGGGCTGCTACAGTGACAGTCATGTGTACCCAGCTCTCTAGCGGGTATTACTCAGAATAAGACCATTAAGGTGAGCGACCCGCGAGAGCTACATACTTATTTTTTTCTGTCTCTGATATACGGTATATATCATATGCTACACACACACACACACACACACACACACACACACACATATATACAAACACAGTCCCCCAAAAATGTATACATAGTGTAACAACAGATAGCTCAACTGATGTTTCTTTTCAGATTTAACACATTGGAATTAATAATCATTCAGAGTGTGTATACATTTTTTGGGACATATATATATGATGTCTCCCCCCAAAAAATATATATATATGTGTGTGTGTATACATGTATATATATATGTATATGTGTATATATATCATGTATCTATAAGATATACAGTATATATATATGCACATACACACAGAAATATGTATCATAAGCACTTTCATAGCCTTCCAATCTATTCCAATGTCATTTAAAAATATACTTTTATTGATTTCAGAAAAAAAGGGAGATAGAGAAACATCAATGATAAGAGAATCATTGATCAGCCGCCTCCTGCACGCCCCACACTGGGGATCCAGCCTGCAACCCAGACATGTGCCCGGACCGGGAATCGAACTGGGACCTCCCAGTTCTATGCTCAACCACTGAGCCACTCTGGCCAGCCTCAAATGCCATTTTTCGATGGCTTCATAACATTCCATCATCTTACAGTATTTTTGACAGTTGGACTATCGCCGGTTTTGCTAAGAAATAGTGTTACGGTCCATGTGTTCGTATGCAGAACATTTAAAATGAAGTGTTTTCCTCTAAGTTCTTTTTAAAGTGGAATTATTGGCTCATGGGGATCTCGGCATATTTTTTTTTTTTTTTTAGCACCTTGACCAATTGCTTTCCAAAGGGCTCTTCCCATCTGCATCCTCCCTCCCCCACCATGTCCTGGGAGAGACAGCCCTCGCTCTGAGCTGTTGGCAGAACTGGGTGGGCGACTCCATCTTAACTCGACTTTTTTTCATGATTTGGCGCAAGACATGGTTTTTATTTCCTGCATTTTGATAAGTGGCTGTTGTGTTGGGTATCTGAATTCCGTATATGGGCAGGACGAGAAAGAAAAGCAAATAATCAGACACTCTTGTTATTTTCCCAGATGTAAGCGTCCAAGAGACATCCATCAGGATTTTAACTACAATAACAACACCTCCGATCAGCTTCGCCCTGACACGAACCTTCGTTTCTTTGACTTTTTGGAGTTATTCCTGCTCCGAGTTAATGCAAGGAAAGTATTAGAGGTGATTTGGGGATAAGAAGGTTATATAGATTTTAGGCGAGGAAGACTGTTTCAATGAATAAAATCATCTATAGAATTGTTTTGAATGGCACTGTAGCTTTTTCAATTCTGACATTAATTCTGACGAGGGAAGAAAGGATAAAGAATCTGCTGAAAAGCTGCCCGATTTTTCCAAAACGTTTACATTTTATTACCTCGCCTTCCCTGTTTTAGGCGAAAGGAAGAACAGCAGGTTTCCTGATGTGCCTTTATGGATAAATACACAAAATTCTGTGAGCTGGTTCTTCACACGAGGATATATTTTTAATTGATTTTTTAGAGAGAGTGCAAGGGAGGAAGGGAGGGAGGGAGTGGCAGAGAGAAACATAGATGTAAGAGAGACACATTGATTGGTTGCCTCCCAAACTGGCCCTGCCTGGGGTGGGAGATTGAACTTGCAACCCAGGTATGTGCCCTTCACGGGGAATCAAACCCGCAACCTTCGGATGCTCAAACCACTGAGCATACTGACCAGGGCACTATTCATTGGTTTTACATGGCTATTGAGTCCTATGGACCTTCCATTCATGTACTTTTGACCCGACCACCATGGAATCCGGCTGTACTTGAGTAAGGCAGTTATTTTATAAAACTTATTTTTATATTCAATTGTGCCTCTCTTAAGCCGAATACAAGTATTTGTGCAACTGTGGAAATCCAGCTGTGATCAAGAAGAGAACTGGGATCTAAAAGAGAATGGAACTTGGAGAGTGGAGTGGGAAGAAGGAAGGCTGCCCATAGATTTTTTAGGCACAAATCATTGTTAATTTGATAACCAAGAAAAATGAACTTTTTGGGTATGATGCAACAGAAATTCTCATTGAAGTAATAAATATGTGAATGAATTTGCAGATGTATAATTTTGTGGTTCCTTTCATATTAATAAATGTACTTCCTCTTTGGTATGTATGAACCTGTTTCCAGGGCTTTCTTATTTTATTTTTTTTAAATATATTTTATTGATTTTTTACAGAGAGGAAGAGAGAGGGATAGAGAGTTAGAAACATCAATGAGAGAGAATCATCCATCAGCTGCCTCTTGCACACACCCTACTGAGGATGTGCCCGCAATCAAGGCACATGCCCTTGACTGGAATCAAACCTGGAACCTTTCAGTCCCCAGGCTGACGCTCTATCCATTGAGCCAAACTGGTTTTGGCAATAAAAATGTATTTTTTTAAAATTCTGGAGAGAAATTAGGAAGAGAGAGAAATAGAAACCCACCACATTGAAGGTCTGGGAGCTGTTTTTTCTATAGAGAATATGGGATCCAAAACCCTGCGTTCTGGAATATGCTGTCCCTCTATCTTCCCAGGCCTCCCACCACCCAACATTGCGGGGGAGGGAAGAGCTATGAGCCCAAGGATGCACCCCAATAGCTGCAGCAACGCTGATCTGTGTGCCCTGAACACGATTCCTGGATGTTGGGGTTGGGAGAGGGTGATAGCCTGAGGTTGGAGAATGAATAGGTTAGATGCACCTGTTCCTAGACTCCTGGAAAGGTGGCATGGACTCCTGGGTGCACCTGCTCCCCACTCTCCCCACGCCCGGGAGCTGCCCGCCGCCTGGTTTCTAGCTGAACGCAGGCTTTCTCTTGCACATGTTCCCTTTTTGGCCCCTTTTCATTTGGATAAAACAGGCCATGAGCTGAAACCGGTGTGGCTCAGTGGATAGAGCGTCGGCCTGCGGACTGAAAGGTCCCAGGTTCGATTCCCGTCAAGGGCATGGACCTTGGTTGCGGGCACATCCCCAGTGCGGGGATGCAGCTGATCGATGTTTCTAACTCTCTCTCTCTCTCTCTCTCCCTCTCTGTAAAAAAAATCAATAAAATATATATTTTAAAAAAAAACAGGCCTCGAGTAAGCAGATCGATCCTTGGGCAGCGGGCAGCCTGCCTGGGTCACGCGCCTGCCGGGCCGCAGCTAGCGGGCACCGGAGGCCAGCGCGCCCCCACCCCGCCCCTGACCCCGCCCCCTCTGGCGATCGCGGGCCTCTGATTGGCCGGGAGGGCGGGGCTTCCGGAACTGCCCTCCGGAGCTCGGTCCAAGGGTCACCACCCCAACCCCACCCGGCCCTGCACCCCCCAAGCTGGGGCAGCCGCGCACGTGACCGCGGTGCCCGGCCGGCTCCCCGCGCGCCCCGGCCATGGGCACCCCGGCGGGCAGCCACCTCTACGTGCGGGTGCTGCGCCTCCCCGAGCCGCCGCGGGCCTCCTGGCTGGGCACGGCCGCGCTGGGCCTGGGCCTGGGCGCCGTGGCGCTGGGCCTGGGGCTGGGCGCCCTGGCGCTGGGCAAGGGCCTCTGGCGCCGGGTGCTGCGCGGGGGGCGCCGGCGGCAGGTGGGCACCGTGGCCGAGCTGTGGATCTACCCGCTCAAGTCCGGCAAGGGCGTGGCGGTGAGCGAGGCCGAGTGCACCGCGCTGGGGCTGCGCTGTGGTCACCTGCGGGACAGGTACCGGCTCCGCGGGGTGGGGGTGGGCATGGGCATGGGCATGGGCATGGGCATGGAGGACCAGCTGGGGACAGGGTGGACCCGAGAGGCTGCAGGGACGCTCACAGGTCCTCCCGGGATGGGGATGGGGATGGGGATGGGGTTGGGATAGGGATGGGGATGGGGATGGGGATGGGGTTGGGGATGGGAGTGGGAGTGGGCATGGGCATGGGCATGGAGGACCAGCTGGGGACAGGGTGGACCCGAGAGGCTGCAGGGGCGCTCACAGGTCCTCCCGGGATGGGGATGGGGATGGGGATGGGGATGGGGATGGGGATGGGGATGGGGTTGGGATAGGGATGGGGATGGGGATGGGGTTGGGGATGGGAGTGGGAGTGGGAGTGGGAGTGGGCATGGGCATGGGCATGGGCATGGAGGGGATGGGGATGGGGTTGGGATGGGGATGGGGATGGGGATGGGGATGGGGATGGGGATGGGGATGGGGTTGGGGATGGGGTTGGGGATGGGAGTGGGAGTGGGCATGGGCATGGGCATGGAGGACCAGCTGGGAACGGGGTGGGCGCGGGAGGCTGCAGGGGCGCTCACAGGTCCTCCCGGGATGGGGATGGGGATGGGGTTGGGGATGGGGATGGGGATGGGCATTGGGGACCAGCTGGGGACGGGGTGGGCGTTCACTGGTCCTCCCGGGAACCAGGAGAGGGTGGGACAAGGGAAAGACAGGGATGCATCGCCTGGAGCTGAGCTGAGCACACACACCTGCTGTCCCCAGCTGGCTGGCTTTCCACCTGTCAAGGGCTCTTGCATCTTGCATCTTGCGCTCCTGCTGAGGTGTGGCATGGGTCCCCAGGCATGTCCAGCGGAAGCCCCGAGCCAGGATTGCCCCCCCCCACACCGCACCCCCTATACCCCTCTGCCTCGCCACTTTTTCTCACTCTCTCTTGAGAACTTGGGGTAACTTGGAGCCACCTCCCAGCCCCATCCAAAGAGCGCCCCCAGGCTGGCGCCACAGGATAAGGTTGGAAACTTGACGCTCGGGTTTCTTGCTGCTTGCAAAGTGCGGTTGCGTTGTCATGTTACTGCGTCCGTTAAAAACAAACAAACACAAAACACATGTGCTGAGCTAATCTTCCCCCATAATTCTCTCCAGCTGGTTTTTATGGGGTAAGAACCCGGCTCAGAGCCGCGGGCAGTGGGCAGGCAGGCAGGACTCGGGTTCCCTTCGCCCTTGGTGCGTGGAGAAGAGGGGCACTATTCACGCCCCATTGGGTAGGCACAATCCCTGGGAATTCATGGGGTTCAGCCAAGACTGCAAAGGCCCAGAGCAAGGGCCTTGTCCTCCTCGGGGTCTGGCTTCAGGAATGACGTTCTAATTTATGCTATAGCATAGATACATCTAGAGAACATTATATTAAGTGACATAAGCCACCCTGGCCTCATGGTTCGTCTGCACCCCAAACGCCTTCCTCCCCGTGGCAGCCCTCACAGCTTCTGTGGGTAACACGGGGCTCAGGGCCTGTCACTTCCTTCCTCTCCCCGATAGAGGGCGACGTGACACCGTGGAAAGATGAGCGATGCCTCTTGGCTCCAGGGAGGAAGCCAGCGGCCCCAGCTCTCCCAGGGTTTGCATAAGGACTCCGGAGGAGCGTAGCATTGACTTTGCAGGCCCAGAGGTCAAGGTCATTGCCAGTGCGCTGTACCCGTTGGAAAGAGATGCACTGAGCTCACAGTGCAAAGGGCGATCGTAAGAGCTGGCATTTGCACGGGGGTGCACGCTTCCCTGACCTGCTGCCAAGCAACGTGACCCGGGGATGCAGTCCTACGGGGCAGCTGACGCAGCGTGACCGGTGGCAGGATGCAGGGGAAGGGGCACCAGGAAAGGTTTGGGGAGGTCAGGAGCGACATCGTCGCTGGAGCTGAAAATGCAAAATTAATGAATTTTCCCAGCAAGCCCATTGAAGGAGGAACATTCTAGAGCAGTGGTTCTCAACCTTCCTAATGCCGCAACCCTTTCACACAGCTCCTCATGTTGTGGTGACCCTGAGCCATGAAATTATTTTCGTTGCTACTTCATAGCCAATGTTGGTACTGCTATGAATTGTAATGTAAATATCTGTTTTCCGATGGTCTTAGGCGACCCACAGGTTGAGAACCGCTAGCAGGGTCGCCTAAGACCATCGGAAAACACAGATATTTACATTACGATTCATAACAGTAGCAAAAGGACAGTTATGAAGTAGCAACAAAAATAATTTTATGATTGGGGGTCACCACAACGGGTGAGCAGCCTGTCGGGGCGGTCCATGCACATCTTGTCTTTTGCAAACGGCAGGTTCTGGCTGGTGATCAACGAGGCGGGGACCATGGTGACCGCCCGCCAGGAGCCGCGCCTGGTGCTGGTGTCCCTGACCTGCGAGGGCGACACGCTGACCCTCAGCGCGGCCTACATGCAGGACCTGCTGCTGCCCGTCGAGGCGCCCGCCACCAATCCCGTGCTCAAGTGCAGGTGAGCCAACGGCCCTTCTCAGCCCTGGTGTGCGTGTGTCGAGAACGTTCGACTTTCGGAGAGAATCCTGAGAAAGGTGGTCAGCAATTAGTGAAGGATTCCAAGTCCTTTTTGTTTGTTTGTTTAATTTTGTATTTAAAAAAATATATATTATTGAATTTTTTACAGAGAGGAAGGGAGAGAGATAGAGGAAGCTAGAAACATAATTCTTGGTGGTGAAAATTTTTATCCCTTAATTTTTAACCCATCTGCAATGGCGTGAAAACGTTCTGCATGATCCTGTATAGACTTTGACCCCTGCCCCAAAGACTAAACAAGAACCTTTTTGGAAATTGCAAATGAGAAATGCTCAGACTCTTGGGGCAAAGATGTCAAGAATCCACTGGTCCATACAACCCAAAGTCATCTACAAATTCAGTGCAATCCCTACCCAAAAAATCCCAATGGCATTTGCCCCAGAAGTAGAAGACTACAATCCTAAAATGTGCATAGAACCACGAAATACCCCGAATAAAGCAATTTTTTTTTGGGGGGGGGGGGAGAGAAGAAAGAAAGAACAAAGTCAAAGGCATCCCACTTCCTGATTTCAAACCATACTACAGAGCTACAATAATCAAAACATTACCAGCATAAAAATACTAGACAGCAGATCAACGGAACAGAATCGAGAACCCAGAAATAAACCCACGCCTACAAAGTCGATCAATATTTGACAAAAGATGCCAAAATCGGTTTGGCTCAGTGGATAGAACATCAGCCTGTGGACTGAAAGGTCCCAGGTTCGATTCCGGTCAAGGGCATGTACCTTGGTTGCGGACATATCCCCAGTAGGGGTGGGGGGTGCAAGAGGCAGTTGATGGATGATTCTCTCTCGTCGATGTTTCTAACTATCCCGCTCTGTAAAAAAAAAAATCAAGGAAAACTGGGTATTCACAGAAGCAAGGGGCAGGTGAACATCACGTCTCCTGATAATGAAGGGATGACGGTGACATCACAGTGTGGGCAGGTTCTCTGATGTGGGTGGGGCATGGTAAGGTCCTCAGATTTGCAAAGCCAGGCTCAGTCTTCACTCCTCCTCACACCCCTTCCCCGCCCCCCCCCCCCCCCCCCCGCAGGGTGCATGGCCTGGAGATCCAGGGCCGGGACTGTGGCGAGGCAGCAGCCCAGTGGATCACCAGCTTCCTGAAGGCCCAGCCCTACCGCCTGGTGCACTTTGAGCCTCACATGCCGCCCAGAAAGTCCCACCAGATAATGGACGCATTCCGGCCCACAGACCAGGTGAGAGATGTGTGTCTGGCAACCCACAGACTTAAATGATGCCACCGGCTCTTCCAGGAACAAGGCTGCACGGAGTCATGGTGACAGCGGGGTTGGGAGCACGCTGTTGTGTAGTTCAGTTACTAGGGCCATTCAACAAATCACTATCATCAAGAATCTTTTATTTATTTATTTATTTTATTGATTTCAGAGAGGAGGGGAGAGTGTGAGAGAGAGAAACATCAGGGATAAGAGAGAATGATTGATCGGCTGCCTCCTGCAGGCCCCCTACTGGGGACCGAGCCTCCAACCCGGGCATGTGCCCTTGACCGGAATCAAACCCAGGACCCTTCAGTCCGCAGGCTGATGCTCTGTCCACTGAGCCAAACTGGCCAGGGCCAGCAAGAGTCTTTAACACTGCAGATTGCGTAAGTAAATACCTGTGGAATCAATGAATGATTTTTTTATTCACACACAATGAGGTCATCGAGCCCAACCGCCTGATTGTCAGCTAAGATATTAACCGTGAGAAACCAGAGGCTGGGAAAGCTGGAGTGACCTCCCCAAGGGCACTCGCCCACCGACAGCTCCAAGACCCCAAGGTCACGTCCACGTCCCTCCATCATGTAATTCCCGTTATCTGCAAGGCCTTCCGCATCACTGTGACTTTTCTATAAAAAAGGCCCGGCCTGTGTGGCTCAGTGGTTGAGCCATCGACCTATGAGCCAGGAGATCTCGGTTCGCTTCCCAGTCAGGGCACAGGCCCGGGTCTAAGGCTCGACCCCCAGCGGGGGGTGTGCAGGAGGCAGCCGATCAGGGATCCTCTCTCATCATGGATGCAGTTAATGTTTCTCTGTCTCTCTCCCTTCTTCTCTGAGATCAATAAAAATATAAAAAGAACTAGAGAAATATTGAAAGAGATTGGGGGGGGGGGGGAGAAGAGCGGGTTCTGAGGTTTAGACCCGCCTGACCCCTGAGAAATCCTTTGTGTAATACCCCGTTTCCCCGAAAATAAGACAGCAGTGTCTTATATTAATTTTTGCTCCAAAGATGCGCTAGGTCTTATTTTCAGGGGATGTCTTGTTTTTCCATGAAGAAGAATACGGTACACATTTATTGTTAAATGAAAAGAAAGGAAATTTATTACCTGCATACGGTACGGCAGTACGGTCGATGTCAACACAAACCAGACAGACTGTGAATCCTACAGCATCAAGAATTGACTCGTTTATTCGATGACAGTCATGTCATCATCTTCTGGAACATCATCCTAACCATCCAATTCCGGAATTTCCTGATGAATTTCTTGTGACTCCATTTCTTTCAGAATCAGTCGACCAAATCTCTCATGTTTTGCCTGTGAGGGGGCCTTATTTTCGGGGGGGGGGGGGGGATGCCTTATATTTCACTCAGAAGGAAACCTGTTAAGTAGGTCTTATTTTCGGAGGATGTCTTGTTTTTGGGGAAACACGGTAACGGTTTGTCTCTCCATCAGATCGCGTACTCGGACGCCAGCCCGCTCCTGCTCCTGTCTGAGGCTTCACTGGCGGATCTCAACTCCAAGCTGGAGCGGAAAGTCAAGGCAACGAACTTCAGGCCCAATATCCTCGTTTCGGGCTGCGGCGAGTATGCAGAGGTAACGCGAGCCTTCCTGGCCTTTTTCCTTGGATTTAACTTTTTTTTTTTTAAAGGCCTGAGAGTCTTTGAAGTGACATTCGATTATTTCTAAAGTTCATTTTTATTTTTTATTTTTTATTTCCTGCGCACCCGACCAGGGTTGGGGGCGTCACAGGAATAGACAAGGCAGAGATGTGCTTTTATGTGATGTCGGTGCCCCCCGGTGGAGAAACGCACACGGTACAGGCCCGGGCTGCTCTGTACCGAGCTGTCCAGATTTCTGGACTGTTGCGAAATATTGCAGTTACGGGGCCCATTTCATGACTTAAAAGAAAAGCCTGCAATACACATACCAAGACTAATACACACTGCCCAGCTGGTGTGGCTCAGTGGTTGAGCATCGGCCTATGAACCAGAAGGTCACAGTTTGATTCCCGGTCAGGGCACAGGCCCAGGTTATGGGCTCCGTCCCCAGTGTGGGGCGTGCAGGAGGTAGCAAATCAATGATTCTCTCTCTACATTGATGTTTCTGTCTCTCTCTCTCTCTATCCATCTCCCTTCCTCTCTGAAATCAATAAAAATATAATTTTAAAAAAGAGTAATGTAGACTCTTTTTAAAAAATATATATTTTATTTATTTTTTTACAGAGAGGAAGGAAGAGGGATAGAAAGCTAGAAACATCAATGAGAGAGAAAACATAGATCAGCTGCTTCTTGCATGCCTCCTACCAGGAATATGCCCGCAACCAAGGTACATGCCCTTGACCGAAATCCAACCTGGGACCCTTCAGTCCGCAGGCTGATGCTCTATCCACCGAGCCACACCGGTTTCGGCGAACTGAGGGTCTTAATCCACCTCAGTCGCACACACAGTGATCTGACACAGCCTCTCCAGACCCTCTCCTCGCTTTTCCCCACTCCTCTTTCTCCTTCTTTCTCCGCCTCTTTGAGTCTGGCAGCATCAATCAGGGCGGCTTCCTGCAGGAGGCGGGCTTCCATCACAGATGGACAAGTGAGAGGAAAGGAGACTTCACTTCAGGCGAATGAACTGACGCATGGAAGGCAGAGAGAGGGGCAGGAAGCTGTGTGTCTTCACGGGACTGATGCAAACTCTTCCATCTTTAGCCAAAGCCGGTTTGGCTCAGTGGATAGAGCGTCGGCCTGTGGACTGAAGGGTTCTGGGTTCGATTCCGATCAAGGGCATGTACTGCCTTGGTTGCGGGCACATCCCCAATAGGAGGGAAGTGCGCAGGAGGCAGCTGATGGATGTTTCTCTCTCATCGATGTTTCTAACTCTCTCTCCCTCTCCCTTCCTCTCTGTAAAAAATCAATAAAATATATTTAAAAATAAATAAATAAGCTGCCATCTCTGATGCGAGGGGCACGTCGGGGCGAGGGCTGCGGAGTGCTCACATGGCCTCTGCGTCCTGTCCCCTAGGATTCGTGGCACAAGCTTCTCGTCGGGGACGTGGAGCTGAGGAGGGCGATGGCCTGTTCCAGGTAAGACCCTCCCGGCGTGGCTGCCCGGGACAGGGAGGGCGGGACCAGGCCTCTGTTCCCGTGTGACGCTCTGGGCCCGTGTGCGCAGGTGCCTTCTCACCACTGTGGACCCGGACACGGGCATCATGAGCAGGAAGGAGCCGCTGGAGACTCTGAAGAGGTAGGAACGGGCTGTAATATCTCCAAGAAGCAGCAGTCAAACGCCGCCGCCACCACCACCACACACACACACACACACACACACACACACACACACACGGCCTTAGGGACTCCGATCTGGGAAGTAGTCTGAGGAGATGGGGATGGGGCTGGCCCCCGGGGTGCCTGCTTGCACACACGTTTGTTTGTTTGTTTGTTTGTTTGTTTGTTTTTCATTGAGAATTCACGATGCAGACACACCGATTAAAAAACAGACTCACAGTGTTTAGCCATGTTGGCAAATTTTTATCGCGGAACCGAGATGACGCCAGAGCGTATGAGGTGTGATAATGGCATTGAGGGGATGCAAGGCGCGTCCGTGTGTTTGGACAAAGATGTTAAACGTGTGTGGGGAAGTGACATGATGTCTGGGATGGGCTGCAGATTATTTTAGGGGGAAAAAAAAAAAAAAGACACGGGAATCCTGGCTGGGTGCTCAGTGGTTAGAGCGTCGGCCCAGGAACTGAAGGGTCTCAGGTTCGATTCTTGGTCAAGGGCACATACAGTCCTGAGCCCCACTCAGGCTGAGGTGCGCAGGAGACAACGAATCGATGCATCTGCATTGATATTTCTATCTCCCCCTTTCCCTCCCTCTCTCTCCTACTCTCTCTCTCTAAAAAAAAAAAAAAAAAAAATCAATGGAAAAAATATTCTCGGTTGAGAATTAACAACAAAATATAACATGGGAAAAATGTTGATAAATAGAATCTGGGTGATAACAGTGGATTCATTGCACTGTTTGTTTTTTTAATATATGTATTTATTTTTTTATTGATTTCAGAGAGGAAGGGAGAAAGAGAGAGAGACAGAAGCATCTATGATGCGAGAGAATCATTGATCGGCTGCCTCCTACGCACCCCCTACTGGGGATCGAGCCAGCAACTCAGGCCTGTGCCCTGACCGGGAATCGAACCGTGATCTCCTATTTGTAGGCCGACACTCAACCACTGAGCCACACCACCCGGGGTCTGGATGTTGTTCTCCATGAGGCAGCAGGCAGGGCAGAACTGGGTGGTTCTGTGTCCCACCAGCCAAGCCATGGGGGATCGGACCCTCCTCCTTTCCTGCACGCCTGCTTCTCTCTGCCACCAGCATGTTCCTTGGCGTCGGGCACCGTCCCCTGTGGGTGTCAGAGATGCCAGCCTCCTGAGGACCACCCCCTGCCCCCCCGTGGGCTAGGCCGCCCCCCTTCCCCTCCAAGGGAACCTGTGTTTACAGAGAATCACTGATCCAAACACAGAGCGAGGGTGGGCACACGGAGTCAAGGGGACTAGCTCGCTCTCCTGAAATTCCGTATGTTCCCTGCAGGCCCCCCCTCTTTGCTCTTAAGCCCCCAGGAGACAGAGCAGCCAGCCTAGGTGCCTTCTCCTCTCGCCCAGGAGATTTAGGTTGCCACAGAGGCAGTAATTTATGCTTCCCGGGGCAGGTAGTCATAAATCGGGCCGCGAAGGGCCCGGCCGCAGGACATAAATCATGGACGTGAAGCAAACAATGGTGTCCAGACGACTCCTGGCTCAGGGGCAGGGTGCTCGGAGCCACACTGCTTCCCCCCACCCCACCCCCCTGTGTCCTCGTGGTGCCCAAGGGCTGCGTTGCCCCCCCTAGGCATGTTCTCAGCTGGGAGGCCTCTCCGATGGCCTTGCCTCCTGATGGTGCCACCCACGGCGGGCACGGGGTCCCGTGTGTTCGAAATAGCAGCCCGGAGGCCCAGGGAGGCACCCACTGGCAGGAACAGATGAGGAAGGAATTAGTCTTTCCCTTTACTTTTTATTTTTTTTTAAATACATTTTTATTGATTTCAGAGAGGAAGAGGGATAGAAACATCCAGGATAGGAGAGAATCACTGACTGGCTGCCTCCTGCACGCCCCCTACTGGGGATGGAGCCCACAACCCAGGCATGTGCCCTTGACCAGAATCGAACCTGGGACCCTTCAGTCCACAAGCCTATGCTCTGCCCACTGAGCCAAACCGGTCTCAGGGCCTTGAGGAGGAGGTAGAATTTGAATGCACGGGGACCTGGGGCGGGGCGTCCTGCAGGAATTGCAGAAAAATCAGCAAACCGGGAAAGTACGGAGGGGACAGGACATGGAAGATGCCTGGGCAGTGCCGTCTGGGGGCATGGGAGGGGCAAAGGGGCACAGGTTTGCAGAGGCTGGTGAGGGCAGGGAGAGGCAGTGGCCAGACCAGAGCAAGCTTACAAAAAGAATTCAGGCTGAAACCGGTTTGGCTCAGTGGTAGAGCATTGGTCTGCGGACTGAAAGGTCCCAGGTTCGATTCCGGTCAGGGGCATGTACGTTGGTTGCGGGCACATCCCTGGTAGGGGATGTGCAAGAGGCAGCTGGTCGATGTTTCTAGCTCTCTATTTCTCTCCCTTCCTCTCTGTAAAAAATCAATACAATATATTAAAAAAAAAAGAAAAGAATGTAGTCTAGTGCAGTGGTCTGCAAACTCATCAGCCCACAGAGCCAAATATCCACAGGACAACGACGGACATGTCTTTGGAGAGCCACGTTTTTTTAAACGTAAACTTCTTCTAACGCCACGTCTTCAACATAGACTCGCCCAGGCCGTGGTGTTTTGTGGAAGAGACACACTCCAGGGGCCAAAGAGCCGCCTGTGGCTCTCGAGCCGCAGTTTGCCGACCACTGGTGATGGTGACAGACATGAGGATCAGGAGGAGGGGTGTGTGGGAGAAGGAAGGTGATGAGGGATGTGGAAGCATATCCAGTACAGGGACCGTTGCTTGGAGGAAAGATGCAGGGTGTGGCCACTGCTTGCACTTCTGCGGTGTGCGCACTGGGGGGCGCTGTTCTGGGTGATGGGGAGGTGCTCCCCGGAGCTGGGCCCCAGGGCCCCGTGGGGTTCATTCTCACTCACCTCCGCCGAGAGGAAACCAGGTGTGGCTTGAGCTCTCGCTTCTGTGCGGCTGTCACTCACCCTGGTCTCTCTCCTCCTGTAGTTACCGCCTGTGTGACCCTTCCGAGCAGAAACTGTACGGAAAATCGCCTCTCTTTGGACAGTACTTGGTTCCGGAAAACCCGGGGACGATCAGAGTGGGGGATGCCGTCTACCTGCTGGACCAGTAATGGGGACCCCGGGTCCCCGGAGAGCAGGTGCCCTGGAGAAAAATGCCCTCGAAAATGCCACCCCTTTGACATACCGTGTGTTGGAGCCTCTGCCTTTTCTTGAGATCTCTGGTTTCCCGAGTCTTTGCTTTTGTGGATTTCCTTGTGTCTCGATGCTCCCAGAGTCCTGAGCCTCAAGCCCAAAAACATAACACAGTCTCCATGACTGAGTCGGACTCCCGGAAGCCACCTAACGGCCAGGCGTCTGAGAATTCCGTGTGTCGCTATGATGGTGGGGTCATTCTTTCTCCTTCCTCTGGATTCACCTCCTGGGAGCGCTCACCTCGGTCATGTCATGGCCCCCCCTTAGGGAGAGAGAAAAGAAGAGACGGAGGAAGAGTGGGCGAGCGAGAGGAATGTTCTAGAAGGTTTTGTGTGTGTGTGGGGGGCACGCAATGGGAATTAAATAGCTCCCCAAGCAAGGCTGGAATGTCACGTGGCTTTTCTCCTCCTGGAGCCCCAGGTGAGGTCCCGAGAGGGCACAGAGAGCATGACCTAGGGGTGGGGGTTGTGGGGGAGGTCTGCTGCCTGGGGGATGGGTGCTGAGTGGGTAGAACTGTGGCTGGAGGCCGGGTGAGCTTGACTAGCCAAGTGTGACCTTGGGACATGGCCCATGGGGTTATCACCACCCGGGCCGGGAGTCCAGGCAGATCATTCCAGCAGTGCCTGATGGGAGGACAGAGTGGCCCCCCTCCTGGGTGTGGCCAGGGTGTTGGTGCCACGCCCAACAGGGCACCTCCCTGTGTTTGATTGGCCCGTGCAATTCTGGAGGCGGGCCTGGAGGGATACTCCTCAGAGAATTCGGGGACCAGTAGTTTTGGGAAGTCCTGTGCGCCTCATAGCTCTCCCAAGGCCAGCAGCTGGCCGAAGGCCCTGGAGGCCTGCAGTTGGCGTTGACCACCACCCTCCCTCAGCTGATCCCCTTTGAGATGCGGCTCTGGCCTCCGGGAAGTGCCAGCCGGGGGCAGGGAGTCGGGTCAGCAGGAGGGACGTTGGGAAGTGACAATTCCTGATCCCATGGAGGAGGCCTCTTGTGGGATGCGTCCTTCTGCATGGAAGGATGGGATTAGGGATTACAAGGTCCAAGGGGACGAGGAAAGGGCCTCCTGGACCAGCTCCCCATGCGTGGATCTTAGGGGAGAAGCATTCTCTCTCTTGGGACTCGTTTTCCCAACCTGATGGATGGATGGGTGGACAAGAGGCGCCATCCTTCTGTCTGCTAGCCTTGCTTCCATGGCAACGCTTCCCAGGGAGTGCTGCCTCCCTCCACCATGAGCACAATTACCGCCGACCCCGAAGGCCCCCCAACCTACATAAGCTCGCGCCCTGTGCTAGGATCTCTCGTCAGCAAGAACAGACTCTGTTTGCTGCCACCGTGTTCTTAGAAATGAACTAGTGGGTTATGACAGCATCTCAAAGTTACCCCATTCCATTCCAAGCAAGGGGAAGACTCTGGCTCTGCACCACCAATGACTGGGGATTATAAAAATGTGTTTTTAAATATATTCTTATGCATTTCAGAGAGGAAGGGAGAGGAAGAGAGAGAAACATCGATGCTGAGAGAGAATCGTTGATCGGCTGCCTCTCGTACGTCTCACACTGGGGATCAAGCCCGCAACCCGGGCATGTGCCCTGATGGGGAATCGAACTGTGACCTCCTGGCTCCTAGGTCGATGCTCAAGCACTGAGCCATGTTGACTGGGCTAAAAATGCATTAAAACAACAACAACAATAATCGGAGGGATCTTGGTGTCAGATCTCGGTGACTGTGTTGTCCTTGGGAGGAGGCCTAGGCCATGGCCTTGACTGTGATCCTGCTCTCCCTGGGTCTCACTGCGGGGGGCCTGGGGGGTGGAGGGATGGGTGGGGCACGGGTTCCATGCTCCCCCCAACCCCCCACCACCCTGCCCAGCTCAGGGGAGGAGTTGCCGCCATCACATGATTACCGTATTTTTCGGACCATAAGACGCACTTTTTTCCCCCCAGAAGTGGGGGGAAAAGTCCCTGCGTCTTATGGTCCAAATATAGCCTACACATATACTTTAAAAAAAAAGTTTTTTTACTTGCCTGGCTCTGTGTGGTCTCTGTGTGCTTGCCCGGCTCTAAAATGGTTCTAAATGCTGCTGTTTACTTTACAGGGTTGATTACATGTGTTTATGACTGTGATGTTGGGTTTTAATGCACATAAAATATTTTAGGACACTATTTGTTTCAGAATCTTTTTTTCTTCATTTCCCTTCTCTAAAAACTGGTGCGTCTTATGGTCCGGAGCGTCTTATGGTCCGAAAAATACGGTACTCTTCCCGGACAGCCTGTGGGTTGTGTTAAGCAACAGAAGGGGCTGAGACACGACTTCCCATCCAGCTCCTTCCAAGGCTGATGGGTGGGTCAAGTTCACTCGCCTTTGGCTATTGACCAAACCTCATCGACTCATCCTTGGTGGTCCTCGGTCCTGCTCCCTTCCTCTTCCCAGAACATTCTAGACTGCTCTTGCTCCTCCTCCCTCCCTCCCTCTTAGGCCCACAGCCCCTGGATTCCCCCATTTCATTCCCTTCTCTGTCCCCTCCACCCATCCCTGACCCAGTCCCCCAGTGTCTCCCAGTCCAGATTGTGGTCCCGATGGAGCCTTGTGGGTTCTAAGTTAAGTCTAACTGGTCTCTCTCTCTCTCTCTCTCTCTCTCTCTCTCTCTCTCTCTCTCTCTCTCTCTCGGGCTTGCTGGGAGCACCGTCCATGAAGTCTCGTTGTCATCGTTATATCGTTATTCCTGATGAATATTTTTACACCTCCTAATGGAGTCTCAGGAGTGATTGTCTTTGCTTGGTCGTTTGGAGGGGTCCGGGGGGGCACCTTCCCCATGACCGGCCGAGCAATTAGAGCCGCTTGTTAAGTTGGAGGCCCAGGCCAGCGAGGACAGCTGGCCAGCCCGTCTCTGCGCGCGGCTCTGGTTAACATCAGCCCCAAAAGCTCTTTGTAAACACGTGAATAATTGATCGCCCGACGCGCACAAAGCTACTGAGGATCTGAGCCGGCATGACTCATCTGCGGGCCACGGCTGTCGTCCGGCTGCCATAACATCGGAGGAATGATGACGGTTTCTTGGAGATGCTTCCCTGGCCGGCGTTGCCAAGACCGAGGCCGTAATGGTTTGTTATGATGACCTTTGTCGTTCCATTAGGGGCTCAATTGCTTTAAAAAATGATGTGCGCCGACGTGCGGAGCGTTTTTACCCTCGGCGTGGACCTGACATCACGGTTTACATTACGGATTGTATTAATGACAGAGGAGTATTTTCACGTCCCCGGGACAAGTTTTTAACAACCCTAATCTGCCCTCGGCCATCATAAATACAAACGTATTGGTCAAACAGATCGCGTTAATGTGGCCAAGATAAATGCAGGCCTATATTTTAAGGCAGCCGAAGTCCTGGAGGATATATGGGGAGCTTTTTTGGGGGGAGAGGGGTGTGTGAAGGGATCTCGTGGACCCGCTATCAGAGGGCTGAGAGAATGAGCGATCCCCCCACCCCCTTTTCTGGCTTTCCTTTGGACAAATATAAACGTCACAGGGCTGTCCAGCAAGATTGTCCTCGGAGCATCTGGACCCCATTAAGGCCCGGTGGGGTGAATCTCAGTGTTTTTTTTAAAATATATATTTTAATGATTTTTTACAGAGAGGAAGGGAGAGAGATAGCTAGAAACATCAATCAGCTACCTCCACACCCCCAACTGGGGACGTGCCCGCAACCAAGGTACATGCCCTTGACCGGAATCGAACCCGGGACCTTTCAGTCTGCAGGCTGACGCTCTATCCACTGAGCCAAAGCGGTTTCGGCTTTTTATTAAAAAATATATTTTATTGATTTTTTACAGAGAGGAAGGAAAAAGGATAGAGCGTTAGAAACATCCATGAGAGAGAAACATCCATCAGCTGCCTCCCTGCACACCCCCCACCGGGGATGTGCCCGCAACCAAAGTACATGCCCTTGATCGGAATCGAACCTGGGACCTTTGAGTCCACAGGCCGACGCTCTATCCACTGAGCCACACCGGTTAGGGCCAAATCTTAGCCCTTAAAGCCGTATCCTTCTCACAATGCTCTCAGGGCCTTCAAAAGGCTACAGTGAAGATTGCCACGTCTTGGTGGCGTGTTGCTCAACCGCGTTTCCTTGAGTCCCCCTGCCTCTTAGAGCCTTAATTCTATTCATCCCCCACCTTTGCCCAGCTTTGAGCTTCCTGGGGGAGGAGCCCCGGGCCCTCAGATGTTCCTGACATTTCGCGTCGTTCCAGTTGGCCATCCAGATGTTGGCAGGCGAGGATGCTCTGGGCGGGAGCGGCAAGATGGATCAAACACTCCGTCTTCCTCCCCCCGTTCCCTGACCCTCCCCAGTCCTGGCCTCCATCCGCGGTGGCCACGTTGTACGCTTCTCAGGCAGGACATAAATCCTCGCTGGTGTGTTTCCAGTCTGAGCCATGAGCATGGGCTTCAGGCAGTCATGGCTCAGGCGCTCCTTTCTGGGGAAGCCAGCTGTGTCCGGGGGTGAGGTCATCTCCCCCAGGCCCCAGGGGGATGCGGCACCCCAGTTGACCTCCATGTGGGTTGTGGTCACCTGGCAATGACTGGTGAGGACTTCCAATCACACCGTGTACCCTCCTTCGCGGAGCAGGATCTTTCCTCTGTGTGTGCTCCGGCCCTGGCCAGCATCACACACTGGGCTGGAGAAATGGGATTTTGCCTGGAGCCCTCTGGGGCTAGGGATTGGGTTATTATCAAAGTGCTATTGGTGTGAGGATGCTCTGTGTGGTTTAAGGTTTTTATTTATTTATTTATTTATTTATTTATTTATTTATTTATTGCCCTAACCAGTTTGGCTCAGTGGATAGAGTGTTGGCCTGCCAAAGGGTCCCAGGTTCAATTCCAGTCAAGGGCATGTACTTTGGTTGCAGGCACATCCCCAGTAGGGGATGAGCAGGAGGCAGCTGATCAATGTTTCTCCCTCATCGATGTTTCTCTCTATCCCTCTCCCTTCTTCTCTGTAAAAAAAAAAAAAATCAATAAAATATATTTAAAAAAAATTTTTTTTCTTATTGCTTTTAGAGAGGAGGGGAGAGGGAGAGAGATAGAAGCATCAATGATCAGAGAGAATCATGGATCGGCTGCCTCCTGCACACCCCACACTGGGGGTTGAGCCTGCAACCCTGGGCATGTGCCCTTGACTGGGAATCAAACTGTGACCTCCTGGTTCCTAGGTGTTGTTGCTCAACCACTGAGCCATGCCGCCCAGGCTGTGGTTTAAGTTTTTTTTTATCTCTTTAATAAGGGAGGCACATCCACCTAGTTCCATGCTCGGCAAACTGCGGCCCTCCAGCCACATGCAGCTCTTTGGCCCCTGGAGTGTGTCTCTTCCACAAAATACCACGGCCTG